AATTTAAACAAAAGGTCAGAAATTCAAAATCTAAGCAAAATTTATAATTATATTATTTCTTTGTAGTTTATATATGCAATCAGTAAAATATCACATTTTGAATTTTCCATGTATTTGTTACATTTTTTCAGGCATCTATCAATGGTGAATAAATCTTCTTCTTTTTTGTTACTAAACAAAAAAAATTTTTTAAACAAAATTTTATTTTTGACAATATGTCAAAAATAAAAATTTTTAAGTTGGTATTTATGACATTGAGGCTTATTTGTAGCTATTCAATTTTTGTTTACAAATTCAATTGTTTTTGTTAAGAAACTTTTTCAAAATTTATTTCAGAGAAACATTTATTAGAATAGGACATTTTTGTATTACTTCCTATCTTACTATCCCGTAAGTATATGTTCTTACATTTAGTTTACTCTCAATATCACCAAACTCTGTACGTCTGTACTTATATGTACGTTATTTTAAAACAAAAATGATATATCCTCGATATTTTCTCTATTGATTTTCTCTTTTAATATGATTACCAGTTTCCATTTAACATAATTAGAGCCTTTTTGTTGATTTTTCTCTTTTCACCATCTGTTTCTTTCAGAACTATACTTGAATCTTTCCATTGAACTCTATGTTCAGTTTCCTACGTATGTTTACGTATTTGAGATCTATCAAATTTTCTATTTTTGATATAAAATTGATATTTACTTACTTCAAATATTTAATACAAAGCTATATTGTCAAATATTAAGCATCCTACTAATAGAGATCATGTGGTAAGCAGACAATTTCTGGTTCTATTTTTTATTTAGTGTTTTTTCTTTTTTAAGCAATGAAAAAAACACAAAGGACTGCTTACTGCACTCCACAAAAAAACACATTAGAAAATTTGGTTGTGCTAAGTGTCCAGACCTGACCATTCTTACTGGAGTTGAAGCAGCAATAGAGTTATCAGTCTTTTCAGTTAATATTTAATGGACACCTAAATTATACCTTTTATAAATACAATTATTTGTTTTTTTTTTCATTGTTACGTTTAGTTTTAGATAAAATAGACCTCAATGTGTTTGTTGTTTTGAAAGTTGTTAAATGTTGAATTCATTTGCTATCGTTTTGAGTTTTTCCGATAATTCTTTTATGTCTGGTATTATTATTTTCTCCTAAGTATATGTTATAGGATCCCGTTCTAAGTTGTTCTGTTCCATTCGGTCTATTCTTGAAAATTCCTTATTTATAAACCACAAAGGATAGTCATTTGTCAATAAAACAGATGTTAACAAATGTGTCTCCCTCTAAGAACGTGTTTCGGTTAAAACAAGTAATTTTGGCTGTATTTTATAAGGATTTACTGATTCCCTTTTTTAATATAGATGTGATTTTATTTGTAATTTAGATATCTATGTTAGTGTGTGTTAGTTTTCTATACACCTGGGTCTCATATCCAGTATCTTTCTTTGAGATTAAAACATCAAGGAAAGTAGTGTGTTCTTATATTTCTTTTCCATGGTAAATATAATTGTCTCTTCTTTATCGTTTATATTATTCAGGGATATATCCAACAACTCTGGGTATGATACCAAATTGAGGCATTATTACATACCTCCAGCATACTGTGGGTTTTAAATTTTATTTAGAAACAATATTTGCTTCGAAAAATTCCATAAATATATTCGATTATAATCGAGATAAAGCAGAGTGTATTGTTAGACCAAAATTTTGTTTATAGAATTATTTAGTTGAAAATAGATATTATCAGTACATAACGTCCAATAACTCCATTATAGTTTATATACATTTAGTCTTATTCTAGTTGTCAATGTATCATCATTCTTTATTTTATTTTAAATATTTTCAAAGTCTTATCTTATGGCACATTTGTAAATAAACTATTTATGTCAAAACTTACTAAAATATTATTTGAATCAAATTCAATATTGGATAATTTATTTTAAAAAATGTAGTGTATTCTTTATAAATGTGTCATTATTATTTTGCAAATGGCTGTACAGCATTAATTAAAAATTTTGACAGTTTATTACAAGATCATGGTACTACAAATAGATCTAAGTACTGTATTGGCTTTATAAACTTTCGATACTCCATAGAAATGAGGTGTCTTGATGTAATGATGTGTAATTTCTTTGATAATTTGTTAAACAATCTTTAAACTTTAATAAAATAAAATTCTATCGATATATGTTTATTAAAGGTCGTGGACCTTGTTTTTTGTTATAAGGTCTGTTTGTTATTAGGTCTTTAATTTTGTCTTATTATATTGAATTTTATTCATTATAATAATAGCTGCATTTGCCTTATCTGCTTGTAGGATAATTATGGAATCATCATTTTTTAAAGTTTTTACAGCTTTTAGTTCCTCTTTGCTTATATTCTGTTTAATTTTATTAGATTTTTCCAATTCAATTTTACATAACACTCTATTTTCTTCATATCATGCTTTGAACCCTATGTGTGTCCTAGCCTCCTCAAGAATTTCTCTCCAGTTGTCCCTATCCATTGTATATCAGGTTCCATGTTTTACGATATCAGGTTCCTGGTATATTCTATAAAGTTCGAAGTTGTATCTTCTTCTGCCACTCCATTGTCATTACTGCTCCATAAATTCGCGTTAGTACTTTTCTTTCGAAACATCCTAACATGTTTTCATTACTTTTTGTTATAGTACAGGTCTCTGAACCATATGTTAGTACTGGGCGTATTATTGTTTTGTAGAGTTTATTTTTGTATTTCTCGATATAATTGTGGGTTTAAGGAGGAGGTTGAGCCCAAAATGACCGTGCAAATTCTGCGGTTTATCTCTGCGGTAGTATTATTTTCAGTGTTAAGGAGCGCTCCAAGTATACAAATTCGTTCACTGCTTCGATGATACGTTTTCTATAACAAGTGGTCGTAGTTTTTGTGGTTGCGTGCTTATTTTCATTTTTTCATTGACTTCGTTTTGTTGGTGTTTATTATTAAACCCATTTTTGTAGCTGATTCTTTTAATTCTACATACGTCTCTCGTACAGCGTTTTCCGTTATCCCAACAATATTGATATCATCAGCATAGGCTAGGATTTGCACTGATTTATTATATATTGACCAGTGATTGTTATTTGTGACATAGGTCTTACTTTTTCCAGAGTGCTAATACTCCACTGAGCTAATTATGTCTCATTTTGGAATATATGGATGAGTAACAGCAAAGGTTAGACCTTTTTACTGTATAAAACTCTCAGTTTCATTTAAATGTCTATTTGATGGATTGAAAACTATTGCTAATATGTAATTATTTTTATTTAGGTTTTCTAAAGTTTGGAAACTGTTTTGTTCTTAGAGAATATTAAACTTATTTAAATGTATATTTCTTTGTTTTTCATATGAATTTTCATATACCATATATGTATACTAAAAATAATTCGATAAAAATCAGAATTTGATATCATATGGAAAGGTAAATCTTCAATACTTGTCAAAGTTTTGTACAAGTACAATGTTTTGTCAAAGAAAAAATAAATTTGAGATATGAAATTGTAATCTTTCTTGTATTATGGATAAACAGGCTATTTGTAGTATTTTTCTGTAACATTCTGATTGAATATTCTGAACGTAACTTCAAGCCCTTTGATATTAAGTTTTTATCCCTTCACCTTCGCAAATGTAAGGATAACAATTATTTACTTAATATTTTTACTTTTACTTAATGTTTTGTATTTTGAGAACCATTTCCGAAGTATAAACCAAAAAGTCAAAATAGACTTATTTTAAAGTAAAATGATTGCTTATTCTAAATAAAAATTGCAATAAGATGCCACAAGAAAATAGCTTCAGAACAATGTTACAGTACCTATTTAAGTTGAATCTAAAAAAAACACACAAAATATCTACATTTATATATCTTGGATGACTTAAGCATATCCTAAGATTAAGCTCATGATGTATAATGTTAAGTGTCTCTTAAACGGAAGAAATAGATAAAAAGTAGTGCTCAAAATTGATACAATCTAAAAATCGTTAAAAAAGGGAAAAATCCAAGTGAAAAATGACATATATCGCGTATACGTACAATTATTTTAAAGTTCGTAAATATAATTGATGAAGGAGAGTATGTAAAGTAAATAAACAATAAAGAGACAAGAAGATCAACATAGACATAAAGCAAAGAAAGAATACAAAAAAGTATTCAATTTGGCATAACATAATCTTTATGGTAGAAGAACGTTCTTTATAAAGGACTGTTTAAATAGAAATATTGATACCTTGCCTCGGTTTTGTATAAGAATTTATAAAAATAATAAGTATGACCATCGCGACAAAATTCTAATGAAATATAACAAAATTCAAATGAATTGTGCCATAACAACTGTGCTTTCAATCATTTTCAAACGAATTATAACTGAAATGAAAGTATTTTCATATTTGTAAATGTTTATGTATATGTACTTATATGCTTGTATAAGTAAAAACATTGAAACTGTCACTTGTTAATTTTTACAAAAAAATGTTTTTCAAAAATTGATTTTATTTACAAACTATTTTCGAAATAGAGAGCCAAAATATAAACAAAAATGAATGTACAGTTCATTAACTCAATGATATTGTATTTTAAATTCAAAAAATTACTGTATCACAACAATAATTACATAAACATAACCAAAATAACCAAAACTATTTTACTGAGGAATCTTCAGAGAAAACCCAAACTACTTATATGCATTAAGAACAGATACAAAAATACAAACAGTTATACCCAAAAGACATCAATGCAAACTAGTAGAGGAAATAAAAACACAATAAAATATGTCATATTTTATTGTCTATTCTTATTTTTGTTATTGTTGTAGTATTTGTGATTCTTTAAATTAAAACAAAACAAAATTTGTATAATAGCAATATATATCAATGTTTCATGTTTATAGTAATTATTATTTAATATTTTATTTGATTTATAAAATGTTAATTGATTGTTGCTGAAAAACATGAATAAACCCGAAAATACTACTCACCAACTCAATGACACTATTTTATCGGATTGAAAAAATCACTTTTTCAAAAGAATAACCACATACACAGAACCAAAATAACCAAAAAACCACTTGGCCGCGGATTCGTCAGAGAAAAAACCGTCTCGATACACGCGTGTCGCGCATTTGACAGCAAAACAACCTCGCGTTGCGACAGTCTGTTACTTTATGTTTCCTAATTCATCAAGTAACCTCGCTTAATAACCGTAGTAGGCTACGCTAGCCATTTATTTGCCTATTGTTTTCGTTCGAGAGATAATTCTCCGGCGACTAGATGATCGGTGCTCGATTGAATCACCTTCAGGTTATCTTCATTTTCTTTTCAGTTTCAGAATTGTTGTTTCAGTTTCACTTTCTTTCCAGATCGCTGCAGCATGATCGCCGCGACGTTCTTCTGTCACTGTTCCACGTCGGTCGGAGTTACCCTTTAGGTGTAGCTGAGGGTGGCATGGAAATGGGACACAGTTAAAGCAACTAGTATTTTGGAACTGCAAAAAATTAATTTGCAATTTTTTATTGAAATGATAATAAAACTATAAATAAGAATTTTGCGGTTACCCACAGTAATTTTTAGTTCAAAAAATTCAGTAAATATAATAAAACACAGACTCATTACAGACAAAAAATTATCAATACAATTTTTGACTATAATTTGGAACACATACATTGTCGACAGTTTTCTTTTTGGTTAAGGCATACCTATATCAAATATATAATTATAGGTTATTAGTGGTTACACAGTTATACAGTGGTTAAAAAGGTTATACAGTTGTGGTTGGCACTATACAATAGATATAAATAAATATACAAAACAATATAAGTAATCTCTACAAAAGGACATGAAATTGAAAAGACCAAGCAACTGAGAGTTGAAGGTAAAACTGAAGTGATTTGTTCCCCTGTCAACGGAAAAATTATTAAGCTTCCTACATTTGGCGACAAGACCTCCGGACCAGTGTACCAGTGGCGCACCCAAGGGGGGTTTGGGGGTTAAAACCCCCAGGGCACTATTCCGACACTGTTACAAATTTTTTAAGTACTCAAAATGGAGGTAGCATCAAAAAAAAATTTCGGTGCTCAACCAAACTCAACCCCCACAGGAAAATTATAGGTGCGCTATCAACAATAATGCGAGGGGTAAATGAACAGAAGGCAACAGCTCTCATATTAGCACTTTTAGGTAAAGTTGCCGAAATCCTCCAAAACAACCCAGAAGACGCACAAAAGAGCGATGAGATTATCGTATCGGCTCTAGAACTAAGGCACAGAAGCAAATATTTGAAAAATGTCTATTAGCGTCAATTAAAAGTGTCTCTAAGGATCCAATGAATCTGTGCTAGAATACGGAGCGGAGGTAGAAAATATAGCACAACTCGCTTGGTCCGAAGCCCCAGAAAAGTTTCTGCACCAATTCATCATCGAATGCTTCCTCGATTGCCTGCGCGATGTAGACCTCAGCATACATTTTGATTAGGGAGAGAACGCTACCAAATATAGAAGGATGCCATTGCCTCAGCCCTGAAGAATGTGTCCCCCTATTAACGCAAAATCAATGAAGTAAAAGGTGTTGCCGAAGTGAAAGAACACGATCTAACTACACTGTACTTTAAGAAATATCTCGCGTAATAGCAGATGCTTTGAAACAAAAACTTTCAATTCTTGACAAAGTGTTAAAATTCTGGATTGGTAGGCCACCTTCAACGTGATTGCAAACAACGTACAACACCAGAAGACAAAAAATCGACTAACAGCCAATCCCCACAACAGCAACGCAGTGTGGAAAACTTAGAAGAACCCAACGTCAATGGACACACGTTGGTTGCTTTGCCTAAGCCACCAGATTCTTAATATTCACAAAACAAGTAACCACAGTTTAGTTGCCGACGGTCTCTTAAGAAGACCATGCAAAGAGAGGAACTGTCGATTCTGCGAGTGCCAAGAAAAACGAGAGGGCCAGATTCTACAGCTAAAAACCATAGAGAGCAGAAGTGACGAAGAAGCTCTAAACAAAGAAAACCTCCAGACCAGCAGAAGAACATCCAGATCTAAAGATAACGGCTAGACAACGGAGCAGTTAGGCCAGAGTGGCAGGAGATTGCCAGATATGGGCAAGCAGTGAAGGGCTATTGACTTCAGTGGGACTCCTTGTGTCTGCGAGATGAAGTCATCACTCGTAAATGGGAGAGTCTAAATGAAACAAAAACAGTTACCTAAGTTATTACGTGCTTGTAGAACTCCACCATAGCAACTACGTTGGCATTTGAGGATCAATAGGCCTCTGGCCACAGTCTGTGATAGGTATTACTGGATTAATTGTCGACAAGAGGTGGAAGAATGGTACAAACGATATGACTTTTGTGTATCCAAGAAGGGACCCAAAACGAGACTTAGGAGATACTCAAACAATACATATTCGGAACTCCAAAGGAACGAGTTGCTGTCGACATTCTGGGGCCATTTTCTGTCATCAGGAAATAAATATTTGTTGGTTGCTAGGGATTGCTTTTGCAAATTGCCAGAAGTAATTGCACTGCCCAACCAAGAAGCAATCGCAGTTGGTAAGGTCTTGTTTGAGAATGTCATTTCCCGGCATTTCCATTTATACCTACTCTATTTCGACCAGGTGCGCAACTTCAAATCGAAAATTTAAAGGCTATGATGGCTACTAGGTATTAAGAAGACCAGAACAACACCGCTTCATCCTCAGTTCAACGGTATGAAAGAAAGACATAACCGGACTAGCAACAACTACCTGTCCCTGTTTATACATGAAAACCAGAGAGATTGAAAAAAACTGGTGACTCTGATTCTGCTAGTCTATCAGCATAAAGCACCCAAGATGAAGCAACTGGTTACACTCCATCTTCAATGCTATTAACAAAGATGTGAGAAGATAAAGCTTACCATCGACCTCCAACATGACAACCTATCAGGAAGGCAGAGAGGGGGGGCAAGTGATATTCTCCGAGTATGTCAGCGGCCCAAAATACAGTCGATAAAGGTCCACGATTTCGCCAGGAAAATCGACTCGCGTTAGCTTCGTACCTGGTCACCAAGAAGATGAACAACCTTATATATATAGGGCATAACTGACGCCACGGAGTAAGCTGAAGATCGTCTACCTGGAGGTGTACTTATGAAGGATAGAATTCACCGATCTGGACCATTTAGAAGCTATTTGGGGAGAAGAACCTGAAATAAGGGGGCGATGTTGTAAGTCACTCATTTTATCGACGCAGAAAAAGTGACCTTCGAGAATTTCGAATTTTCCCGAGTATTCGGCCGTCGTCCCAGTCCGCTGTTTTCGAGAACATTTCGATCTCATTATATAAGCCAGCAGAGGTGGGTTGGCGATTCTACATATCAGTGTGAATTGTTTTGTAAGCCATTATTATTAATATAATTAGTAATTGTGATATTTGTTATTACGTAACAATATGTTTGAGTGTTTGTTGGTGTCGCAGACAAAACAGATTGTTGGAGAGTCTTTTCTAGTCTTTAAGCTTCTTGTGGCATACAATCAGCTTTCTCATTACCAAATATACCAGCAGATGATATCCTGATGATTTGTTCATTTTTTTTTTTCGATTGTCAAAAGATCTTTTTTAATATGGTTTAATATAAAATCATTTGGATAGATTCTTGTATTCTTTGTATTCTTGAAATTAAACTTAAAAAGTTTGTGAAGATTACTGATGTCATATCTTTATTAACGATTTATTGCAGCATTTTGAAAATCTTAAAAAGTTTTCCAGAATATATTGAGTATTCAGTAATGTTAATTTCATTCATTTGCTAAAAATATATTTTATATAAATATATATTAATATATTTATAATTAATGACTTTGATTTAATTTAGTATGGAAACTTATGGTAAAGGCATATAAATAGAAAGGGTTTAAAATGAAACAGTTTACATACTTAGATGTAATCTTCTAATATATGTAAAGTGGAGGTATATTATCATATAAACTTTCAACAGGGGTATTTCTATAAGCTTTTAGAGCTAATTTTAGTGCGGCATTTTGCACTATATTTAACTGTTTTAATGTTGACTCTTTGAATAAATTATAAACAATAATTGTTATTTAACCTAATTTACTTCGAATTAAGGATTTGTAAATATTTATCAGTTACATCGTGTCTGATAAATATTTATCATATACATAAATTTATAGTTATATAGTTAGTTATATACATAACTTATAGGTTGTAGTCATTCAAAGTAAGCTTTGAATCAAAAGTTATTCCAAATACTTCCTTTTATTCAGATGTTCCAGAATTTGACTGTTAACTGAGGAGAGTTCGACACGGTTTGTTGTTTGTGTTTTGAGAGAGAAGATAATATTGGATTTACAAGTAGAGAATTTTGGTTCTGTTATTTTGGCTTATGGATTGTTCTAACATTTTTAAGGTATCTGTTGGAGTTTGTTAGAAGCTACATGGGTGTTTCTGTGTGAAATGTAGAGTACCAATTCATCTTAATAGGGTTTCTTACTATATCGTTAATTGCAACTAAAAAAGTATAAGCTTTACATAGATATCTAAGATATTCTGTTATTTTGAACGTAGTAATTAAACAACTTTAGTTTAATTTAACTTGGGAATTTCTATCCTGGAGAAAGTGGTCAGTAGTTTCTTCCTGAATTTTCAAGAAGAATAGAGAAAGAGTTCTTAGATTATTGAAGTTTGTCTAATTCTATACGTTGATCGCCAAAGAAGATTCTAAGACCATGCTGACCATGCGTATAAAGCGTACCATAGTCAGGATGGTTCTAGAGAGCCATCAACAATAAAAGAATAAAGTGATATAATAAATAATAAACGAATAGTCTTCTGGTGTAGTGCGAAGCTAACAAGGAAGTTAATTGTTGTAGATGGTCATTCGTATGATTCAGGCCGAGGCTACAAAGCTGGATATAGATGAACTTTTTATCGTATCATGGAAGCGCTATTCCATACCAGTAATATCATGAATAAATGGTTTTTTAATGTGACAATAAGTACAATTTCCGAATCAACTTTACATCAAAGACTTTCTTAGGTTAATATAACATTAAGGCGTCTTATAAGATCAGTTTCACTTACTACACTGGTTTGTGAAATTGGCAGGAAGAATGGAAATGTGTACTCATTTTAAAAGGTATTTTTTCAT